CCAGGACCCCCTGCCCCATTCACATCCCATGAGTAACCTTGAAGAGCGTTCAATGTCTAAGGGTGTGGCCAATGCCCTCACTGCCTCTTATGGAGACGTCGTAGACAAACATGGAGACCTAGGGGAAAGAGGATCGGGACATGGAAGGGAACCCACAGGACCAGGAGCATTATTGCAAAGGAGATCATGAGATGACCCATGGTTTTCACTGCCAGAGTCCTTAGAAAGCAAAGAAGGTCCTGGCGGCCGGGGTCACTACTAGCTGTCGCCGCTGGACGCTGCTGCTGACGTGATCTTCGTGTACTGGCTGAAGATGGTCTCGAAGGCTTCATCCCTGTGGACCATGGCACCAAACACCAGGGGCTGGCAAGAAAAGTCACGGGTCAGAGACTGAGCAGCCGCCAGCCCCCAGCCCCAGGAAACGCACCAGAGGGAGCCGAGCCGCCCCCAGGCCTCCCCTAAGCGAGGCTCCCCCTTCCGTGAGGCCCCCAGCCCCACCCCGCCACCCCCACCTCGGCCTGGGGAGAATGGAAGAGCCGAGGAAACGGGCTTTCCAAGGCCTCCTTGGGCTCCTGCCAAAACGCTCCTTGTGGCTGGGGAGCCAGCAGCTCCATTGTGAGCGTGGGAAGCAGGTCTCAGGGACCTTGGGGCTGTCTGGGAGTCAGGAGGCCCGGGACATCCTGTCTCTCCAACTAATGCCCTGCGCCCTGACCTATCTTAGCTGCTAAGAACTACCCCCAGGACTTCCATTGTGCCTCGGAGTGTGCCAAGTGCTTTCCAAATAGGACCTCACTGGATCCTCACAACAATGGGGGTGGGGGTGGGAGGTTGGGGTGTTGCTGCTATCATTATCCCCATTTCACAGATAAGGAAACTGAGGCAGACAGAGGTTAAAGTGACCTGCCCAGGGTTACCCAGCTAGGAAGGGTCTCAACTCCTCTGAGCTCTCACTGACCTTGTTCTAAGCTCCCTCCCAGCTCCGACATCCCCTGTTTCTCAGGCCCTTCCCAGCCCTGCCATCCCTGCTCTAAGCTGCCTCCCAGCCCTGCCATCCCCTGTTCTCAGGCCCCTCCCAGCCCTAACATCCCCTGTTCTCAGACCCCTCCCAGCCCTGCCATCCCCTCTTCTCAGGCCCCTCCCAGCCCT